TGAGTGTCCTAAAGATCCACCACCATCACAAACTGAGGAATGTTTTTCCAGTTCAAGGGGCCTATGGTAGGTATGTACCCTGGGTATTATTCTTACACATCAAAGTTGCAGCCTGTTGAAGAGGCTGTAGTTGAAAATCATTGTCACAAGTGACTTTGTTCTCAGTGAGATCAATTCTTCTTTAGAGAAAAGGGCAGGAGCTCTGCCGTGATGCATTATAGAAGAAAGATAGCAAAGACTAAATGTGGTTACAAGGCACACTACATGCTGAGGTTTGATAAACTCAATGGACAAAGGCCAAAACCAAACCCACAGCAGCCCCTAAGGCCAGCAACTAAGAAACTAAGAAACTGGGTATCTCTCTTTTTTGCTTGATCTCCTAGATCTTGAAGTGGACATCTCGCAAAATCCGGTGTTCATTTTGGAGGGCTCATTTATTTCCTCTCCTTTCAAATATTCCAACATGTGTACACCACCAGGGCTGTTGAACTTCCTCTCCCATCTCTTTTTTGCTTTCATGCCACCAGCTCGCAAAACTGTCAAAAAGTTTTGGCTGGGCTCTCTCCATGATTTTGCAATTTACCACCTTAGAACAATGTCCAAACTTCCTTGGCATAAGGACAAAGAATAAGAAAATGCACGTTAGCCTTCCATGTTGGTTGCAAAGCTTAGAGATCACATGGTTTGACCATCCTTGTTTAGCCAAGATTATCGGCTTTTAAGATTTTGTTTTGATTTGAATTCCAAGCAAATAATTTACATTTGTTTTCAGACGTCTTCCAAATAGATGTTGTGTTGAGATTTCTGAGGTAACCTTTGAATTCCACAAGGAAGACTGACTTTTGTGCAATATTGCCACACCGTACTCCTTGTTGACAGGCTGAAGGCAAATGGTTTTGTATTTTATTCCAAAGCCACACTACATACTCCTTGTTCACACAAATTCTGGGTCGTGCGGATTTTCCTCACATAATATATCCAATTATTGTTTGCAAGTTCTTTCCGCATGGGCCTATTACTCTATTTTATCTGGTAACCGGTAAGAACAATAACTTTGTTCTGGGTGGATAAATGGATGATGGGGTTCATGATAAAAGCATTGACCTGTCGTCTCCTTTTGCAGAATTGGTTTATTTTGCAGAAAAGGGGACAAACAAAGAAATACTTTCATGGGGCCCTGGCTACTAGAACAAATTGTAAATGAAAGCTTTGATGCTAAACGAGGATGATGGAGGGAGAAGCTACTTTGGTAGGAGATAGACTGAACATGTAGAACCCTTCTCTGGTGATAATAATAGACTTTAATTTCTTGTTGACTTGTCTTGGTCTCTTGGCCTACTTCTTTGTAACCTTCTAGATTCTAGAAGCCTGGGTCACTTTGCAAACTCCCATTTTGACCATTTGCTTCCAAGCAGAGCTCTGGTGAGCATGGAGATTCTGATTTCTGCTGTGGCAACTGATCTTATCAGCCGGTTCATCTCTTCGGTAACACAAAATTACAGAAACCATATACATAAGGAGGATGATCGTAGGAGGCTGGAACGCATCTTGCTGAGGATGCACTCTGTTGTTGAGGAAGCAGGGGGACGCCATATCACAAATCAAGGAATGATCCTGCAGCTAAAGGGACTTGTTGAGGGATTCTACCTCGGATACTACATGCTCGACAAAATCAAGTTCCAACCCCCCGAATATGAGGTGAGTCATGAGATTCAGTCATTTGCCTTGTCTGCCTGTAACTCTGCCAAGCGCTTTCGTTTTGCTGATGCCATAAGCAAACGCACACCAGTAGCCTTTGGTAGCAGGAGCAGAACAAACCTGAAAGATGTTGTTGATGGTTTAGAAACTAAGATTGCAGATATGAGGGAATTTGTCATTCTCCTTGGTAGCCACCCTCGTCTACCACGCCAGCCTTACAGTACATATCTATACATAGATAACTGTATGTTCGGTCGCCGTATTGAGAAGGAGCAAGTCATCAATTTCTTGCTTTGCAATGATCCTGATGATCCATCTGTTAGCATTCTTCCTATTCTTGGCCCACCAAGGATGGGAAAGAAAACTCTTGTGCAACATGCTTGCCTGGATGAGAGGGTGCGCGACTGCTTCTCCCATATATTTTTCTTTAAAGAAGACGATCTGAAGACCGGAGAGCTCTCGCTTAACTCCAAGGCTTCTGAAGGGAAATATTTGTTTGTTATTGAGTTCATTTGGGATGTGGATGAGGCAGCTTGGACAAAATTCCAATCATATTTGCAGAATATTCCCGGTATTGGAATTAAGGTTGTAGTGATAGGTACAACAGAGGACATTGCTAAGTTTGGGACAACCCAACCCATCAGGGTGAAGAGGCTATCTGAAGAAGAGTTTTGGTACTACTTCAAGGCACTTGCTTTTGGAAGTTTGGATCCTGATGAGCATCCAAAACTAGCATCTCTGGCCATGCAGCTATCTACTGAGATGAATGGATCGTTTCTTGGTGCAATTTTATATGGTGAACTATTAAGAGCTAATCCTAACACTCAATTCTGGAATAGAATCTTATTATTCTTAAGAGAGCTGGCACGGAAGCAATTGACTTCCTCTGGTCTACACCCTGAGGATCTTTTCGAAAGAAATATCCCTGTTGATATGAGCAGGCTAGCTGTTGTGGATGGTCAAGTTCAATGTTGCCTGGTTTATGATCTTAGGGTGGCTGGCCCTGCAGAAGGTGAGCTACCAAAGCTGACGTCACGAGACATGCTACTGGGTGGTGATATTCCTGTTGAAGATAAGTTTGATGTGCTGGTCTGGAGATCTCGCATTCCACCCTACTGTAACTACATAGTTACGTATGAGAAACGAAAACCGCGACGCATGGTTCGTAAGAGGAACACGATCTACCTCTGAGAATAGACAGACACAAATCTTAATCTGGGGGAAAAATTTCTAGAAAGAAATTACATTGTCTACGCTTCGACAATATAGTTTAGAAGGCTGGGTATGCCTTTCACAGATTCTAGCTACTACTGATTATTCAGTCAGTTTAGGTGAAAGGAGCATATGTCATGCTATTGCAGGTTCATGGATGTCTTCTTTCTTAGGGAACCGCTATTGTATCTGTTTTTACTAGTTTGAGTATGTAAAATTCTGTTAGTTACTATTGCTACCCTACTAGCGTCATGTGTCTGACAATATAGTTCACAAAAGAAGCTACTTTCTGTTTCTGAATTCTGACTTTGATGTCCTGTGTATGGCCAATTTAATGTACAACAATATATGTAGTTTCAGTGCCTTCCATCGGTTGGTTCCATCATAGTCACTGCTCCTTCCTTTCTATATTCCAACTACTTTAATGATATGTTTGTTTACAGGAATTCGTTTCGATTAATTTCTTCCTGGTTTGGTCTCGCAAATTCGAAGAGGACATGCTCATCTCTGTAGTTGCAAAAGTGATCATGTCAGCCATTTCATCTCCTTGCAGAGTTCAGACAATAAAGGAGGACCTTGAGAAGCTGATGAGTGTCCTAAAGATCCACACCATCACAAACTAAGGAATGTTCCTCCAGCAGCAGCTCCATCACAAACTCAATGGACAAAGGCCAAAACCAAACCCACAGCAGCTCCTAAGGCCAGCAACCAAGAAACTAAGAAACTGGGGATCTCTCTTTTTGCTTGATGTCCTAGATCTTGAAGTGGACATCTCGCAAATTCTGGTGTTCATTTTGGAGGACTCGTTTATTTCCTCTCCATTCAAATATTCCAACATGTGTACATCAACAGGGCTGTTGAACTTCTTGTCCATCTCTTTTTGGTATGCTAGGACATTGCTTCATGCCACCAGCTTGCGAAACTGTCAACGAGTTTTGGCTGGGCTCTCTCCATGATTTTGCAATTTACCACCTTAAAAACAATGTCCAAACTTCCTGGGCATAAGGGCAAATTTTGCCGAAGAATATGCATACTAGTCTTTCATGTTGGTTGCAAAGCTTAGAGGTCACGTGGTATGACAATCCTCGCTTAGCCAAAATTTTCGGCTATTAAGATCTTGTTTTGATTTGAAATCCAAGCAAATAATTTATATTTTTTTCAGACGTCTTCCAAATAGATGTTGTGTTGAGACTTCTGAGGTTACCACAAGGAAGACTGACTTTTGTGGAATATTGCCACACTACGTACTCCTTGTTGACAGGCTGAAGGCAAATGCTTTTGTATTTTGCCCGGCGAAAAAAAATGCTTTTGTATTTTATTCCAAACCCTGACATGTTCACACAAATTCTTGGTCGTGTGGATTTTACTCACATAATGTATCCAATTATTGTTTGCAAGTTCTTTTCGCATGTGTCTATTTTATCTGGTAGGCGGTAAGAACAATTCTAACTTTGCTCTTGGGTGGATAAATGGATGGTAGGGTTCATGATAAAAGCATTGACCCGTCGTCTCCTTTTACCCGCTTAGCGGCAAAATTTGTAGGATGGTGTTTAGTTGTTTACCTGCTTTCTGCAAAATAAACTGGTTAATTTTGGAGAAAAGGAGATAAACAAGGAAATACTTCCACGGGGAGCTGGCTTTTAGAACAAATTGTAAATGAAATCTCTGATGCTAAGCCAGGATGATGGAGAGAGAAGACTTTGGTAGAATATGGACTGAACATGTACAACAGTTCTCTGGTGATAATAGAGAATTATAAGTCTCCATCAAATGAAGTTTGGTCCTGCCGAAAACATAGCCTTGTGTTTTCCTGAGCACAGCTTGTTGAATTGTTTTGGTTTGCTTTCCTCCTGAGCCACAGCTTGTTGTAGAAACGGGCAGAGAAGCTAGCAGACGCAGAACATTTTTGTAGTAACATTTTTTTGGCATAGAGTTCTCGCAACCAACTGATCAGATCATATGCATATGCAAGCATACGGGTGAAAATGAGGTTTTCATCAAAGTCTTCAGTGAGCATCGAAGCATTGTGAGACCCTTGCACAACAGGATATATGACATTATTACAGGGTCTGACAAAATCGCTTTCACGGTTTCACCAATACTGGTTCAAGCATAAATCATGCACAAACACTGGTCCAAAGTGCGGAAACAGAAGGCAAGGAAACGCCACAAAATGAGCTTAAGCAGCAGATTGGCAAAAGAACACAGCAAAATAGGAGAACAATACAATTCTTTGCTCCTAGGAGGTAATTTTCACAAACGAACAGAACTCATCAAATGTTAAGTAAGCTGTAAGCCCCAAAATTTGCTCACCGATATGACTGAAACTGCAAAAATGTCTTATTACAGTTTTAAGACCTAGAAAATAACCTTCAGCTCCGTGATGGAAACAAGACGCTGAACCAGCTTCTCTCACGGTTTCGCCTATTCAGCGGACTTGACGATGAAGTTCTGGCGGCTGATGGGATTCATGATGACCGGTGGTCCAGCGGTCCGAGGCCAGGCCTGGAACTTGGTGTCGGTGGCTAGCCACCACTCCTTCTCAGAAACAGTCTTTGGAATGCTACCTGTTTACAAAAAAAATAATGCAGCTTTAGATACAGACAAGAGGTTAAGCACAGGCATTTCCGTAAGAGGACAGTCACCTCCAAATGCCTTCTTGTCCGAAACAAATGTGTCACACAGGTAAGCAATGGCAAATGATCCAACCAGGGAACCGGCAATGTATCCAGCCGTCATTGTTGCTGCACAACCATGAAATGGAACAAATTCATCAAGACTGATAAATACTCCCAAGTGTTACAGAAAGTTTCTCATTTGAACAAAAGATTGAATAACATGGCAGGCTAAATAGAAAATAAGTCCCCCACTAATTGCAGAAACCATTGCCTCACCCTATAACATCAGATTCACATGAACACAACTATACAGATAAACAAGATAAACTCCAGAACAGAGAAACTCAATCAATATCAAAAAAGGAAGAGAGCTGAAGTGGAAATATTCGGTGCAGGCAGTTATCTGTGACGCAGAAATATGCGGATGAATGTCCAGTCATAAGCTCACATTATTAGTGCTAAATCTACTACTTGCCCTCGTAAAACATGTGACGTTATGTATCTTCCTATTGCTATTTACCGCAATGATCATAAAGCTCATAACAAATTAGTGAATGTAGATGGAGAAGTCCGAAATGAAAGAACAAACTGTACCTCAAGGGTTTGGGTTCGAGTAGCAGGTTGATCCAAGGAAGGGATGGTTGGGCAAAATTTCTAACGAAAAATTACCAGTATTTTCAACCCGCAGTGCATACTCACCAACAAATCTGGCCGTTCTAACTCGATTCAACCGAGCGAGCCATTTTCACTAGATCTAGCCAATTCACACAGGGCGCGCAGACGAGAGATAGCAGAAAAATCAAAACCAGAACGGAGAAGGTAGGGAGGTAGGGGGCAGGAGGCGGTGGTCGAACCTTGCCGCGCCGGACCACCGATCGCCGTGCTCGCGTCGTCGTCGTCGGAGGACGAGAAGCCCTAGACGAGGGAAGGCCGAGGGGAAGGAAATTTTTTTATTTTTAATTTTTTTTATTAAAAGTTTTACAAAAATAATTTTTCATTTTGAAAATTGACAGAAGTGGTCGCCTACCGCTCTCTGGGAGGGCGATTTTTAAAAATCGCCATCCCAGAGGGCAGCGAAAGTGACGTGGCAGACGGCCGTTCGCTCTTGGGCGACGGCCGTCAACGAAATTTGCAGGCGGCCCCCTTGCCGCCCTCCGCTAGGGCGATTTTGTACTGTGCGGGGGGCCGCCTGCAAATGGGCGGCGGGGGGCCTGGAATTTTGCAGGCGGCCCCCTTGCCGCCCTGGGGGAGGGCGATTTTATACTGTGCTTTATATTTTTTTATAAATATCAATAGTTATCAAATCTTTTTATATTGAAAACTATACAAGATTAAAATCTCCAAGACTGGTAAAATACAATTTTATTATTTTTTAGGGCCTATTTGGAATGTTACCGTACAAATATTTTGTTAGTGCCAAAATATAAGCAAGTTTTGGCACTACCAAATATTTGGTAAGGTAAAATTGCATTTGATCATATTTGGTTTGCTGCCAAAATGTAAAATTGTAGTGAAGAATGTTCTACATAATCTCAAATCTAGATTACGTATTACCAATGAATAGGCTTCAATCGAAATCAAACACAAGTACTATTCAAATTACCAAAATATTGGTAGGGCATGTTTTTGGTAGCAATCCAAATAGGCCCTTAGTCTTACGCATACAAAAAATCACCACCATAATTAAACATTGTAATGATAAGATAGATAAGAAGTGCCATCGATACACGGTACAAATTTGTCGATCCCGACGAATCAAGCATGCAGTAACCTATCGGCCCCTTCTAGGTCGGTTAGAATGCATTGCATTCTCGTGGTCCTTCAATCGTTGATACTCTACTTGTGTTTCTGACTCTGTTATCTTCTGGCCATGATATGATGGAGTGACATTGTCGATCCATCGAGTAAATCCACCCATCATTGGATTGCCCTGTAAAAATAGTAATGTTATTTAGTTTGGGTAGTAATTTTGTGCAAATCATAGCGGATTTTGTAAATGGTTAGACATACAACGAAATCGTTGTCTACATTGGGGCAGACAAAATATCTCCTTCGAAATGTTTGTTCAGCAAAGGATGTAGCCACCTGCCAGCGATCTCTGCACCCACACTTTGGACGCTCGGACCATTTAGGTAACCCTAATGGATTGTTCCTCCAGTCTAAGCTTGCAATTTCCACCCGACGTTCGTACTCCATCCAAGCATGAATGAACTGTATGGTCGGTTCAGGTTGCGTTATCGGCCCGCCACTTGAAGTAACTCTGACTGTGTCAATCTATTGTACGAATTGACATTTCCTTACATCCTCCTATGTACATCCATTTTGGGATAGTTAAGTTAATGATAGTACTGAGGAGTGATGAAAAGAATAGTTGTAATTACCACGAAATCATCGTCGACAATGTTTGGACACACGAAACACCTTTGTCCTCGAGTTCGGTGCCTTACGGACCTTATGACCTGACAACGGTCACCACAACGACACTTCGGACGCTCACGCCACGTGGGGAGTCCAAGGGGATTTACGTGCCATTCTAAAGCCTCAGCAGCAATTCGACGTTCATGCTCATCCTTCCGCCTTAGGTAGTCCGATCTTGTTTCACTACGTGGGTAAGCACGGGTTCCGTCGTTTTGTGGGTTCTCCATGTCTACCTACTCGATGAAGTTGCACATTGGACGATATGTCTGCGTAAGATGTTACAATTGTGTACGAAGAAGTTAGTTTTTTTATCCATTTGAACTTCGAATAGATGAAGCATACCTGATCAAAGTTCACGCATTGGAAGAATCTCCTGCCCCGAGTTTGTATCATGAGGGAAGACTTGAGTATGCATCCATCCCCACAATCGCACAAAGGACGGTCACACTGTCACACCCTGAAGTTTGTCACACCCTGAAGTTTCCCCCTCTCCTTGCTTTAAAAATTGGCTAAATAAATCGTCCGAAGAAATTATCTTATTTAACCTAGAGCTAATTCCCTAATTAATAAATGCAATTAATAATTGAATTCGGCGTGGTGGAATTTTTCTTGAGTTCCCCATGCTCCAATGCATTAACAAGATTTTTAGTGGAATTTTCAGAGCCTTGGAAATAATTTTAACCAATTAAAAATCACCAAAGTGCAATTTTAATCCCAGGAAAATCCTTCCCCTCTTTTTCTTTTCTTTTCCTTCCTTTTTCTCTAGATGGGCCGTCGGCCCATCTCTCTCCCCGCGCTCGGCGCCCCTTTCCTGGGGCCGGCCCGTTCCTTCTCCCCTCCCCGAAGTCCTCCCTCCCTCCCTCTCTCCTTCGGGCGCCGACAGGTGGGGCCCACCTGTCGGTCGTCTTCCTCCTCTAGCCGGTTGGAGCCGAGCCCCAACCGCCGGCGCCCCACCTCCCCACGCCGCCCGCCTTCTCCGCCCCTCTTCGCGCCCCACTCCGCGCCCGCGTCGCCGCCCACCTTCCCCACATCTCCCGGCCCGTGCGCGCGCTCGAGAGGGCGGGATTCGATTTCGAATCCCACCCCTCTCTCTCTCTCCCCCCACCTTTCCACGTCGCCGGCGCAATAGGGTGGGTTCCCGGCCACGTCCGCCTCCCCCTCCGCCTATAAATCGTTCCCCGCGTCCTTCTCTCGTTTTTTCCTCTTTTCACCGCACTCTCCCGTGCCGTCTACCGCCCTCGCGCCGCGCACCCGAGCTCCGCCGCCCGCCGCCCATCTCCGGCCGCGCGCCGCCGCCGCTAGAGCCACCGCCGCGCCGCGTAGTCGCCACCGTCACGCTCACCGAGCCCGCTTGCACCTCGGCCACCATTCGGTTGCCGCCAATCGTCGCCGGAGCGCCGTTTCTCTCGCACGCCGGTGAGCTCTCCATTTCCACCTAACTCCGGTCGGCCGCTCTAGCCGCCGTGGTCGCTCTCCCTACCCCTAACCCCCTCTCTGTTTTCTCCTAGCGTGCCGCCGCCGCCCGTCCGCACCTCAGCATCGCCGGGTCACCGCCGCCTTTCATCCTCCGCTTTGGTCGCCGTGCTCGCCGGTGAGGCTCCCCTCCGCTCCCTTTTTTTTCCCTCTCTCCCGTGTGCGCCGCCGTCCTTCGCGCGTGCGCCGTCGCCTTCAGCCGCTGCCGCCGCTTTTCGCCCCGTCCTCCGTCGCTTCCCACGCCGCCGATTGCCGTCGCCGGCGACCGTGCGCGTCGCCGCCGGTTGCCATGGCCGGCCGGCCGGTTTTGAAGCCGAGCCGAGCCGTGCCTAGCCGCCGCCGTGCCGTCCGATCGGCCCCTCGGCCGATCCGGACCATCGGTCCCGTGGACCGGCGGTGGACCACCCGCGTGGTCCTGGTCCACGGTAGACCGGCCGCTTTGAGCCGCTGACCCGTGGGCCCCGCCTGTCGGTGCCGCCCCCTCCCCTCGCTGACGTCAGCCCTGGGACTTATTGCGCAATAAATTGATTAAGGACTTTTCTTTATTAGTAAAAACACAGTTTATCTTCTAAAATTCATAAGTAATTCATCCGAGCTCCGTTTAAGTCCATTCAAGTCTCAGTAAATCAAGAAAAATGCAAAGAATCCATTAAAAATGGTTTTGTTTCCTGTTTCAGTAGTCTTATAGCATGTTTTGCTTGTGTGCCTTGTTTGTCGCGTAGGTTTCGGCCGTTTCGTCGATCCGAAGTTTCTCGAAGACGTTGCTGAGGTCCCATCAGTTCGAGAGCAAGGCAAGTCATGCAATACGTTTGATCATATTGTACCCAATTTACAAGTATCCCGCATTTCTATTAAATGTTGCATTCTTTTACAATGTAATGTGGGATGGGTCCTATTCCTCAGCCACATATTGTTTACCATATGCCGTTGATAACTTGGGTATCAAAATGACTAGATGTTGGTTTAGGAAATGCTTAGCCATGCTTAGTTCAACTAGCACACAAATGGGGATCACCTTATTACATAGACTTTGTCTATTGGCATAGCTTTAGATTGGTGCCACCGCAATGGTGTTAGTTAATTAAAATACACTGAATGGTGGGCTGTGGGTGCATGGTTTTGCTGGTCGCACCCATGGCAGTTAAGGACCGGTTCACGGGAAACCCTAGGAGACTTACCGTGCTTACCACAAGCGGGAGTGGGTAACTGCTTGATCTGAAGTATAGCTCGACCCTTTCCTAGGCACCGGTGGCGAGGGTGGGCGTGATGGAGTTGGGTCGGCCGGGGTGTCCGGTTGTCCAGCTGCCGGATTCACCGCGGCGCAAGAGGGGACCGCCCACTGCCTTTTGAGGGGTGGGGGTGAAACCTTAGCGTGGTGTGGATGGTTAGGGGAGGGTTATGTGGAGGGTCTTGTCACGATTTCCCCCTTTGCAGTATCATGGTGATACTTCGGGGCATGGCGACATGTGTGGAATCGTGTCTTGTGGGTACAGTTGTACACCTCTGGCCAGAGTAAAACTATTCGAATAGCCGTGCCCGCGGTTATGGGCGATCAACCAGATTCACCGTGATTAGTCTCATCCCTAGTTTAGCTTAATGAACTGGTGTAGTTCAGGTGGTTGGTTGGGCCTGTTGCAACGTGGGGTAGCGTTGGACAGTGTTTGGTTAACATTGATTAATTACTACAACTGTTTTACTGCCTTCAACTACTGTTTTTAAATGCTAGCTTTATGCAAAAGAACCTCTAGCCTCCTTTGGTTATATCCTGCATCATACCTCCTCTTCCGGTATGACTTGCTGAGTACAGTGGGTAGTACTCAGTCTTGCTCTCTTTTCCCCCACACCAGAGCTGAAGATCTTCCTAGTTGGAGCTGTTTTGTCAAAGTTGGTTTCGTCGCTGCCGTCAAGGATTGCCTGTGGAGTGGAGTCGCCCGCTGCTGAAGTCAAGCTTCCCGGTTTAGCTCGCTTTTATCTTTTCCGCTGCATTTGTAATCTTTTCTATTTTTGTAAGACGTGGATCTGTATGTCAACAATTGTCGTTTGTGTACCCTGGCTGGTCCTGGACAGGGATTTAATGCACATTCAGCTTAGAAATTCTGGTTCGAGAATTTCTG